GGTGTTTATCTCTTAGAGTTTCTAAAATATTTCAGAGTTTTCTTAGGGTTTTTAGGATTTTTTATAAATAAACCTTAGATGCTTTTTTTGTATTCAGTTGATTGATTAATAAAATTATAGAGCTTTGTGCTTTTCAGAGAAGAGTATTCTCGAACCCTTGTTTTCAGTAGATCCATAGAGATCTCAACGAATCCAGGAAGACATTGATCTTAAGTATTCTCAGACTAAATAAGATATTTGCATCTATCTAGCTTCCGTTACGTCACCATGTGACATCTCCCATGCACTGATGCACACTATATAAGAGATACGATGAAAACATATTACCATTTAACACAACAAAAACGGACAATCTCCAAATTTCACTTCTCTCAATAATTCTATTTTTATCTATTGTCACATTCTTCTTCACAAAATCAAAACGAAAGCCAAATAATGTATTTATTATCAAAAATTAATATATTTTTTTAATATGTGTGAAAATTTTAGAAAATCAATCATATAGAGTACTAAATAATTTGGGAATTTGTAATACAATAAACTTTTAATTATACTAAATATTCGTTACCAAATTTTTATAATATGTATATCAATATATAGTAGTTTTGCATGTTTGACTCGTAAGCGATAAATCAACCACGAACCTTTTAAATTTTTAGAATAATAACAAATAATTTCTTTTTGTGTACTAACAAATAAATAAAAAAGGATATCGTGTATCAAAAGTGGACCAATAGATAGAGAGACACGCATAGAGGTCCAAGCATTCGAAACACCAAAGCAAACAAGAAAATCCACCAACCGGTCACAGTTTGATTCTAAGAGATAAAACGTATTATATGGGCGTATGAGGATAAACTCTGAAAAGCACCAACCGGTCACAGTTTATCCCTTGTACTCGTGCTCACTCTTACCTCCACTAAAATGGTGAAACATATATATAATATAGTAATATATGTACAATTCAAGTAACTGAGTGTTGTAGTTTGAGTTAGAGGTGTCAATTGGGCATGCCCATTAGGACAAATCGTTTTGCGGGCTACATATGGTTTAGTCCATATGGGCCCAACTTCCACACATTCTATATCATCCCTTTCACTCTTCATTTGCTCTACTTTGTATTTTATTTTCACACAAGAGTAAAACGTAAAACGTATCATATTATCATATTTTCACACAAGAGTAAAACGTATCATATTATCAAACGGTTCTTCCATGATTTTCTTCTCATCTTCAAGAGCAAACTTGTTCTTGATCTTGTTCTTTCTCATCCACAACAACAAAATCCAATTCGTCATCTAATAAGATTTAAAAACCAGATCAACAATCAAACTAGTTAATAGATATATCACAAATTAAGAATGAATGCAAATAAAATTTTATAGTAGTTACCTATTTC